ACAATCTCTGCTAGTATGAAACATCTCAGTGATCTAGTGGCCAATCTGGAGCTTAGAGACCTCCCCCTGCAAGGCAGATCCTTCACTTGGTCTAATAATCAAGAGGCTGACAGATGGAGCAGATTAGACAGGTTTTTCTCCACTCCAATGGGATGACAGATTCGTTTTAACATGGGGTTTCAACGCTTATTTCGACATTTGGTATTCTCTCATGGTGGATAATAGAGACTGGGGTCCAAAGCCGTTCAGGTTCCTCAATGCCTGGACCTCCCATCCTAATTTCCTAAAAGTTGTCAAAGGCGCATGGAATCAGAGTCTTCACCTTGGCTGGGCTGGGCACAGAATTTTTATGAAGCTCAAGGAAGTGAAATCAGCTCTCAAACAGTGGAATATGGAGGAGTTTGGTGATCAAAATGAAAAACTCAATTCCATTGGTAATCAATTACACTCGCTAGATCTCCTTCAAGAGACCCGTTCTCTATCTGAGGAGGAGTCAACAGACAAGAGGAAGCTGAAATTCGAATTCTGGAAAACTTCAAGGCTGATTGAGAGCATTTGGCTGCAAAAATCTAGGCAAGTGTGGTTCAAGAATGGAGATAAAAATACCAAATATTTCCATATGATTGCAAGCACAAGGCAGAGGAAAAATTCAATTGGCAATCTAGTCATCAATGGAATTCTCTTAGAAGATCCGGAGCAAATAAAAAGAGCAGTTAGGTCTCATTTTCAGCATTTCTTCTCCGAAAAGTGGCCCTCAAGACCCACATTTTCAGAACCTTTTCAGCGCTCCCTTTCTGATTTGGATGCATCTCTGTTAGAACAACCTTTTTCTGAGACTGAAATCCTGGATGCAATAAATCATTGCGAAGGTAATAAGGCTCCTGGTCTTGATGGCTTCAATATGAAATTTATCAAAAAATGCTGGGCCTTCATAAAAGCAGATCTTTGTCTCTTCTTCAATGAATTCCATCTTAACAGCAGGATTAAGAAAGGCCTGAATTCCACCTTCTTAACCTTGATTCCAAAAATTCCAAACCCATCTTCTTTATCTGACTACAGGCCCATCAGTTTGCTAGGCTGTATCTATAAGGTTCTAGCCAAGGTCTTATCAAGTAGATTGAAATCGGTTTTGCCAAATCTGATCGATGAAACTCAATCAGCTTTTGTAAAAGGGAGGCAAATCTTGGATGGTATTCTCATCGCCAATGAAGTTGTTGATTTGTGGAAGCGCAACTCTTCAGGTGGGCTTCTTCTCAAATTGGATTTTCATAAGGCTTTTGATAGTGTCAATTGGAACTTTCTTTTTCATATTCTTCAAAAATTCGGTTTTGGTGCAAAGTGGATCTCTTGGATTAAGGAATGTGTTTCTTCCCCTCATATTTCTGTTTTGGTGAATGGCTCCCCCTCTCAAGAATTTCCCCCTCAGAGAGGCTTAAGGCAAGGTGACCCTCTCTCCCCATTTCTCTTTAATCTTGTGGTTGAAGGGCTAAATATTCTCATCCAAAGAGCCAAAAATCTCAATCTTATCAAGGGAGTGGATATCGGTAGCTTGGGATTGAACCTTTCACATCTGCAATTTGCAGATGACACTCTTATGTTCTGCAATCCAGATTGGGACGAGATTATTAATCTGAAAAGAATTCTCAGTTGCTTCGAATTAATCTCCGGACTGAAGATCAATTACCAAAAGTCTGTAATTTGTGGTGTTGGGGTTAACAGGGACTTCACCTCTCAAGTAGCCGAATTCTTCAACTGCAGGGTGAGCTCGTTACCAATCAACTATCTTGGAATGCCTCTTGGGGCCAACCCAAAAAGACTGTCTACTTGGGAGCCTATCATTAACAAAGTGAAGAAAAGACTAGCCTCATGGAAGAAAAGGTATCTTTCTCTTGGAGGGCGAATCACTTTGATTAAATCTGT